TGAGGTTCATTCTCTTCTCCATAATATAAACAGGAAGACTCATGTCTGGGAGAGAGCCAGGTTTTCTTATCCAACATCAGTACCTGACCTCACAAATGCTCCTTTGGCTCCTACAGACACACACCAAATTCTTGTAGAAAGCCTTCCCAGAAGAGTGGGGGCTGTTATAGCCAGAAAGTAGGCACCAACTCCTTATAAAGGCCTGTGGTTTTGGAATAGGATGGTCAACAAACTCAATAAATGTGATGGTCAGATGTCTACAAACTTTTGCCCATATAGTGTATGTGTTTGTAGAGGCCATGAGTGTTTAAGAAAAGAGGTCTTCTGAAGCCTAGCTCTGGTCAGCATATATAGCAGACACCATGGTGGAGTTATCACTCCATGCTCATAATCTAAACAGGAAGACTCATGTGACCCAAGCATTGCGGTTTGGGACCCGGGTGGTCCCTGTAGACACTGCACGATGGTTGGATTTCGTTTGCATATCTGGCCGTTCTTAGAGCTCTACGTCCAGCATTACACGTACAGCTAGATGCTATCACAGCAACGGATGTATACATTTCAATTACCTCCGCAGCAACGCGGGGCCTGAAAAATAACGCACGGTTTCCCCCTCCACCGGCAAGAAAGGTTAAAGGTCAAACTGTGAGCAAACACAACACAGCAATTTCTCTCCAGAAAGCCATCGGTCATATCGGACTGAATAATGATCTCTAGTTCTGACCTGCGGTCATTAGCCGAGTAATATGAATGCTCGGCATAATTGCCTAATTAGAGAAAATGAGCCCGGTCACTTTTTTTGATTAATGTGTTATATTAAATGTCAGCTTTAGTTAGTGGTCACCGAGCGGCTGTGCGTGTAATCCGCTGTGTGATTTGCCTGTTAATTCATACATTGTGAAGGAGAAGTTGAAGACCCGAGGAGAGGTCACATGAAATCCGTTGGGAGATCAAGGTTGTTCCCTCTCCCCATCATCTACACCTGCACAGTCTCTATTTGCTGGAATGCACAGAACACCTACAGTCGGTACTGGCAATGAATATGGGAAGATATAGCTGTAGTGCACCTGGATATCTCATTTGTTTGTTGAAAATCTGGGAACCAGTTTTGCATATCAGTTCGTAATTCAGAAGAAGTCCCAAACACACAAACTGGAGCTCATTGGTGTCACGCAGTTCTGACACCATGACACTTCTGTAGTGTTTTTCACAACTGCCATCATGTTCAAGCCCATCTTGGAAGTCGGAGTCTGATTTATGAAATGGTAATTAGAGAAAGGTCTTCCCCTTCTACCTCGCAAGAGAGGTTCTCTCTGGACTCTGCTGCAGTTCCTTTAACCCAGTCCTGCCCATTATATGCAGATTAAAGTGACCCAGTCACCCTGTAAAGTAGATCATCTATACTTATGGGAAGATCATGTCTTGAAATGACATGGCTTCATCGCTCCAAGGCCACTGCAGGCAATCAAGCCTCCCAGTGAGTCATGGGCATGGAGTGATAACTCCACCATGGTGCCTGCTATATATGCTGACCAGAGCTAGGCTTCAGAAGACCTTTTTTCCTAGCCTGCAGCCCTGGCCACACGCTGTGGTTTCTTTTGCCGGCTCCTATGTCCTGTATTGATGTATGAGACATCAGGAAGAACCAAATCATGTGGTAGGGAAGCTAGAATTCAATTACCAAAAAGTGTGAAATAGCTGCAGTGCCCAAGAAGCAGTGACGTGGTGGTGATTGAAGATATGGGCCACCGGAAAGGTTAGCATTGATGATCTTTACTGCTCTTAACTTGAGTGACCCTCAAGAGTCTAAACCTAAGGGTGGTGTACATAACTTTCTGCATACATCACAGCACCCTGCCTAATACTCTTCTCAAAAGCCCCCAGCCTGACAAAAGCAGTGGGCTGGCTCTTGGGAGTAGTAATGCAAATATCAAAATGCCTTGATGGGTTGGTGCCAGTCTGCAGGAGTGAGGGGGTTGCTAGGCAGGCCGTATCTACATGGGTACCACCCAAGTTAATACCCACATTAGATACCGAGCCTACATGTTTGAAAAAACTGAAATCCAATGAATGAAAGGGGTGGGCCAGGGATAGACAGGGTGGAGAGGACAACACCCAGCCAGGAAATTAGGTGGGCCCTATCTGACTCGCTGCAGCTTCTAAGGCACAGGTGTGGGGGGGGGGGATATTTTCCTAGGCAAGCTGTATCTACATGCAGACCGCACCAGGGTAACTTCCACATTAGATGCTAAGCCTACATGATTGAAAGAACTGAAATCCAATGAACGAAAGGGGTTGGCCAGAGACAGTCAGGGTGGGGAGGTCATCCTCCAGCAAAGAAATGAGCAAAGAAATGAGGCGGCCCTATCTGACTTACTGCAGAAGCTCACAGTGTGCAGAAAAATTAGAGGAAGCCATTTCAGTCCAGGAGAGGAGCCGGTACAACTATGCAAGACTGAGGGGGAAGGCCGGAGTTCTGCTTTAAACTTCTACTGCAAAGACAGAACTCCTCCACAACAAGTCTTTTTGCATTCCAATGGAGGCATTTCAAATCACTAAGAGGTGAAGAAATCTATCAGACAAAGGAAGTAAAAAAAAAAAAAAAGATAAAAGGTTACAATAGTGAAAAACAGATCTTCTTCATGCTGCATTTATTCCAGAAAATTTACCAAGAGGTGGAATTACATTTGAGGCGACCAGCGACCCATAAAACCATGACCTCCCCTGCCAGCACTTAGTGACTGGAATTTCCTCGACTCTCAGGCTAGGTGATAGCTCCCAGAATTCTCCCTGCCGACTTCAAAGGGAACTTTAAATAACTGAAATAACCGCTGGATGAAAGTGATGGAAGCTCCATGACAGGCATGTCAAGCTGGGGTCTCAGGAGCCCACTCCTCGCTAATTTCACCGAGACGACTTCTCTTTATTCATCTTCCGTAGACCTCGTCCCTGCTCAGCTTGCCAGAGCTATTCCTATGGCACCTCAATTAACCCGCTGCTGGTAGCCTTCAGCCCCAGGGCTGAAAGTTAAAACTAAAAGGCTCACCCCCGTATGACCCACAACATCAACATTACATTTCAAGCTGATATCCAGGAGAAGTTAAAATAAATATTGTTTTAATACAAGAGTCATGTGTATTCTTCTTGAATCTTGGTGAGCTTTGTGTATTTGTTCTAGACCTGTGCAGTAATCCAGTGTGAGACTTGGAGCTTCCTGTAATAAAGACCGCTCACTGCTGCTTTCTCTCCTTGTGCAGGGTGACTGGTCTTGTCTCCGCCCCCTCCTGTAATAAAGACCGCTCACTGCTGCTTTCTCTCCTTGTGCAGGGTGACTGGTCTTGTCTCCGCCCCTCCTGTAATAAAGACCGGCCACTGCTGCTCTCTCTCCTTGCGCAGGGTGACTGGTCTTGTCTCCGCCGCTTTCCTGTAATAAAGAACAGTCACTACTGCTCTCTCTCCTTGTGCAGGGTGACTGGTCTCGTCTTCGCCCCATCCTGCAATAAAGACCAATCACTACTGCTGTCTTTCCTTGTGCAGGGTGACTGGTCTCATCTCCGCCCCTTCCTGTAATTTCCTGTGGTGGGTGGGGCCTGATTGGCCTATCCCACAGCTCTGCTCTCTGCACAGGCTATCTACAGCACAGTGATGTCAAAGCTACTTTTACAGGCAATATCTGCCATTTTAAAAGTACTTGGTGCACACAAGGTGGATTTATATCCTGTGTGGCTATTAAAGAATATATTAGAATATAAATTAGGGACACGCTGATACTAGTATCAGTATCGGTGCAGATACCGAGTATTTGGGTGTGTACTCGTACTCACCCAAATACTCCAAGAGTGGAGCTTCCGGTCAGAGGGAGATCTCTCTCTCTGACCGCAAGTGCCGAGGGAGCATGAAGCCTGCTTCCTTTCCAATTAGGAAGTCGGGCAGTGTGTTATAACCCGCCTCCCGGCTTCCTGATTGGTCAGGAAGCCAGGCTGCCTAGGAACTAGTGCAGCCGGCTTCCTAGCCAATCATGGAGGCGGGTCAAAACGTGCCACCCGACTTCCTGATTGGTTAGGAAGTCAGCTGCACTTGTTGGTAAGTAGCCTGGCTTCCTAACCAATCAGGAAGCTGGGCGACCCGTCATGACTTGCATGTGACGCCGGTGTTCTTTCGCTAGAACACCGGCTTCACAGGCAATCAGGAAACTGGGCGACCCGTCATGATCCACCTTCCGACTTCCTGATAATCTGGGCACACAGCACCGGTATTCGTGTGTCGGCGAGTACCATAAAAAAAGTATCGGTACTCTTACTCGATACCAAAAAAACGTTATCGGTGCATCCGTAATTTGAATGAAAGTGTTTGTGCCCGGAGTTCAACTTTAAGCTCGAACACTGAACCCTTAAACATAACTCAACCCAAAAGATAATGTCTATCTGAAGACTATTTTGTTCAGGGAAGGGTTAGAACCTCTGCCATTGTCCCCACTGGAGAGAGTCACCCCTCTATGTTTCCTGATGACCATTCTAACTGGATGGGGAAAGGGGGGGAGTTAAAGCAAACCTATTTCTTTGCCTTGCATGGCCAAAGCAAAGGTTTGCTTTAAATTTTCAGCTTAGAGCTTAGTCTTTTTTTTCCCCACCTGGAATGAAAAGATGAGGGTAGGAGGAGATACAGTGACGCACATCTTTTGCGTTAGACATTTAGGGCTAGAAGATGTTTCTCCTTTCCATCTCAGAAAACCGGCACATAACTATTACCCGCTTTAGGAAACATTGCACATAGCCGATAGCTTCAGATTATCTGCGTATAAGCAGTTTTGACCAACTTTTGAAACATCTCAAAATCTATTAACTTGTTCACAAGCTGCAAACAAAACAAACAATTGCACATCACCAATCGTTCAACATTCTGTAGCAGTTACAAGTAGGCTTAGCTTTTTCCTTTCTCTGGCCAGTCAGAACAACCCTCAAAGAACCGGTCAACTCTATGGGGCAGCCAAAGAGCCATACCTGGTCTCCAGGGGGATGTTGCTATTGAGGAGCCAGTTGTCCTGGGCATGGACAGGATCCTGGGCACTCCCCGGTGGCTCTCCTGAGAGTGAGTGGTCCGTGGGGGCGGGGCTGGGGTTACTCCGAGGCGTGAAGTTGCCCCTGTTTAGGGAGTTGATCGAAGCTGCATGATGGGGGTTCGGCGGGTGAGACAGCGGCGGAGGCGGCGTCCTCAGTCTCAAATGATTCTGCAGACCCAACGGCTGATCTGGAAGAAAGAAGATGCAAATTAAGCTAGGATTACTCATCATCGCACTTCAAAGTCCCTCAAAACACAAAAGGGAACACCATTGCATTTTTTTTTTTTTATCAGGTACAGACTTTGAGTTTTAACAGTAAAGATTACGTAAAGGTTTTTTTTGAGGAGACCTTCATATTGAAACATGTTCCATCTTTTACAGACCGTATCCCACATTCACATTTACAGCCAATGCCAATATAAACACTATAACTATGACTATAATGACATATATGTTGGGCTGGTGATTTATCTAGGTACCATATCCCTATGAGACAATGAACATATAATGACAACCTTTCTATTCTATATAATAATGCCAAATTCATATATGAATATCATAGACCAACCTTTCTCAACCTTTTTACTACAGAAAACCCCTTAAAATAGGTTTCAGGTCTCTGGGAACCCCTGCTAAAAAAATGATTGGGGATTAGTGGGAAAAATGACCCTTACGTTGGTGGCCACTGGGAAGAATGTTCTCCTTATCGAACTTAATAATCGGCTAACTAATCGATTTTGAAAATAATCGTTAGCTGCAGCTCTACAGTGGTGGTCAGAATGCCACTCTTACAGGCGGATAAACATGATTATTAATGCTATGCTTCCGGCTCTGCCAATTGGGATTGGTCCCAGAACTATGCAGGCACCATCAGATGGGAGTCCAATCAGCCATAGTTCAAGGAACCTCTAGCATCTTCTGGAGGAACCCTAGGTTGCTACGGAACCCTGGTTGAGAATGGCTGTCCAAAGACTATGCAGGCACCATCAGATGTGAGGCCAATAAACAATTGCTCATGGAACCCCTACTGGAGGAACCCTGGGTTTCCACAGAACCCTGTATGAGATTAGCTGCCCAAAGACTATCCAGGCACCATCAGATAGGAGGCCAATCAGCCACAGATCAAGGAACCTCTAGCAGCTTCTGGAGGAACAGCTGCCCATAGACCATAAAAATAAATGTTATTGCTAATCAATTTTAAAATCACAAAAAAGGTCAAAACACAGGTGTATGTAACAGATGTTTCAATATGTCAACATCATACCGCCATATACAAACTCAAACACCTATTGCTCAGCAAATTAAATATGTTTACAATTATACACATCAGTAGTTATTTCTATTCACTTAAAGCCGATTACTGCAGTGTGTTCAGATTAACTCTCAACATGTTTCCCAAATCATAGATCTGCTTCATCAAGACACAGGAGATGTATATTTGTCAAAAGAACCTTCCACTCAGTCATGCAGTGAACCACGGACTCCCTCCCACCAAAGAGAAGACCATATGGGATATAAAATAGGTCTTCAAACACCAAATATTATATAGGGCTTCAACTCATCTGCCAGTCTTGTATGATAGTTGCCAGAATCTTCCTATGTCAGGTTGATAAGGAGGACAGAGTCATATATCATCTTTAAAACCCAGATTAAGTGTATATTACAAGATGCCGGTTGTAATGTCCATAAAAGAAGCAATATCTCAGCTGCTCAATCGTTCCAGGAATCACCCACCAAGAAGCAGACAGTATCAGCCACAAAGACAGTGTATTGTTCTCGGCCCTTTTCTACCCCACGGACACTGTGGCGCAACAACAACGCATGATGGAGGTTCACATGCACGTTTTTTTCTATCTCTATCCATCTTTCTACCATCCATCCAGCTATACATCTATTGCTCCAGCTATCCATCTGTACAATCACTCAGCCATCTATCCACCGATCTAGCTTCCATCCAGTCCCCCAGTCATCCACCATCAGACATCCATCCAGTCAGTCAGCCAGCTATAAAACATCCATCTATGAATCATCCATCCATTTATCAAGCTATGCATCTATCCCCCCAGGTATCCATTCATACATTAAATCAGTCATCCATCCATCTATGCATCTGTCCCTCCAACTATATAGTCAGTCAGCCATCCATCTATCCACCCATCCAGTTCCCCAGTCATCCACTCTCCATTTATTCATCCACCATCCAGCTATGCATTTATCCCTCCAGATAGCCATCAATCCAGCGAGTCAGTCAGCCAGCCAGCCATACACCATCCATCCATTCATTTATCCATCTATTACTTTTCCATCCAGTCACCCACCATCCAGCTATTCATCCACCTATCTACCATCCATCCAGCTATGCATCTATCCCTCCAGTCAGTCCACCAGACATGCACCATTCATCCATCCACCTAGTCACTCACCATCCATCCATCTATGCACCTATCCCTCCAGCTATCCATCCATCCAGTCAGTCAACCAGACATGCACCATTCATCCACCTATGCATCTATCTCTCCAGCTATCCAGTCAGTCAGCCATTCATCCAGTTCCCCAGTCATCCACCATCCATCTATTCATTCATCCATCCATCTACCATCCTCCACCTATCTACCATCCATCCAGCTATGCATCTATCCCTCCAGCTATTCATCCATCTATCTACCATCCATCCAGCTATGCATCTATCCCCCCCAGTTATTCATCCACCTATCTACCATCCATCCAGCTATGCACCTATCCCCCCAGCTATTCATCCACCTATCTACCATCCATCCAGCTATGCATCTATCTCTCCAGCTATCCAGTCAGTCAGCTATTCATCCAGTTCCCCAGTCATCCACCATCCATCTATTCATTCATCCATCCAGACATCCATCCACCCATCTATCTACCATCCATCTAGTCATCTACCATCCATCCAGCTATGCATCTATCCCTCCAGCTATCCATCCATCCAGTCAGTCAGCCATCCATACATCTACCATACATCCAGCTAACCATTCCATCTATTTAGCCATCCAGTGATCTTTGCTCTTAAGGACATTTCCCTGTGCTACCTTGTCTGCAATGCAACATGAAGTAAAATGAAATCATTTGAAAGTGAGGGGAAATGCCCGCCCAATCAGAATAGGTGCTCCCCACAGAAAGATATCCCCTCACCTCCTGATCACATGACAACTATAAAATGTTAGACTTCCCATCACTTTTTGGCACATCAGTGCTGCAGACAAAACCGCAATAAAAAACTGTCGGGGTTTGTAAATCACACTCTACAAAAACATAAAAATTAAAAATTGACAATATTCTCACTTCCTGAAACGCAGACGGCTGCTAGTATACAAATTAGATAATTTCCTCAACCAGAATACGTGCCGTCACTGTCTGCTCTGCTTTAGGATCCAGAGGATTCATTAGGTCTGTGTTGCTGAGGAGCAAGAGTTCCCTTCTTTTTTTTAAAACTAACTTCCTGGAAAAGCAAATATCTAACTTCAAGAGTCATGTGTGTTCCTCTTGAATCTCGGTGGGCTTTGTGTATTTGTTCCAGATCTGTGCAGTAATCCCGTGTGAGACTTGGAGCTTCCTGTAATAAAGACCGGTCACTGCTGTTCTCTCTCCTTGTGCAGGGTGACAGGTCTTGTCTCCGCCCCTCCGGTAATAAAGACCGGTCACTGCTTCTCTTTCTCCTTGTGCAGGGTGACTGGTCTGGTCTCCACCCCCTCCTGTAATAAAGACCGGTCACTGCTGCTCTCTCTTGTGCATAGTGACTGGTCTTGTCTCCGCCCCCTCCTGTAATAAAGACCAGTCACTGCTGCTTTCTCTCCTTGGGCCGGGTGACCTGTCTCGTCTCCACCTCTCCTGTAGAAGGTGGATCCTGCTGGGCCCCTCCCACAGCTCTGCTCTCTGCACAGTCTATGTGCAACCCAGTGATGGTGTCACTGCTACTTTTACAAGGTATGTAAAAGGTATTTGGTGCACACAAAGTGGACTTGTATCCTTTGTGGCTATTAGATAAAGTTCAATGAAAGTTTTTCTGCCCGGAGCTTAGCTTTAAATTTCTTTCTGGAGGGAAAATAACATCACGCAGGTCAGTAGGGACAAATTCGCACCAATGAAAGCATTTTTGGCATGTCCAATCGCATTGCAGTGTGTCCTTATTTATTTACAATGGGCTCTCAACCCGTGGCCAGCACATGTACACGTCTCCTTTTTTGGGGGCTTCTCATACATTTCCATTGGTTACTACAGAATAGGTGCTCTTTGCTTTGTTTGTTGTACTTTTTATTGAGTTGCGATGCATTATTTATTGTTTTGCTTAGAGAACAGACTTTTTCCTTTAACTGCACTTGTGTCATGTGATCAAATGCAAATCCTTCTTATTGGGGTCCCTGTGTACCAGTTGGCGCTCCTTCCAGGGTCGGATTTCCCACAAGGCCAACCAAGGCCCGGCCTTGGGGCAGCAGGGAGTAGAGGGGCAGCAGGGGTGTGGAGTTCCTATCTCCCGATGCCTGAGACATGCAGTTCCTGGCGCCGGTGGGTAGTTGTTTTCTACATCTAGCCCTGCTTTGGGCAAGCAGAGCTAAATCTTTGGGGCAGCAAAGAGAGTAAATCCGGCTCTGGCTCCTTCTACATAGAGGGAACTGAACACCGGAGGTCTCTGCAATGTAAAAATAAACAGGACGCCAGATCTGAGCTCTCCCCCTTAGTAGCTGTAGAACGGTTGTGGTTTTTTTCATGCAGCCCGATTCCAAATTATTATGCTCGGAGCGTCTGAATCCCATCAAGCCGCACCTGTCATTTTATCTCCGTATTTGCATAGCGCCGCCGCTTCTTTACTTTGTACCGGCAGAATATTTGTACACCTACTGTCAGTGTGATGTGTTGTGTGTGATTTTACTGTTCTGTCCCTTCTTGGCTGCTTTCTGACCTTTTATTTAAATTATTTTTTTTGCAAATCCTCCCCGAGGCCAAAGCAGCTTGCCGCTTTTTACGGCTGCCTAGGGACTACAAGCCCCAGCGTGGCGCATGTTCAAAGAGAACCTGTTGTGCATTCGTGTTATAAAAGCGCCATTTTGGGTCTTGCTCATCAAAGCATTTCATAACGAGCTGTGATCATCTGCAGCTGTTAAAAAACAAGATTTCGCTGCCATGTTACAGACTGCTGGAAGTGGATTGGTAGACACGGGGA